AAAACCCACTGATCCACCAACAAAACCAACTGACCCACCCAAGAAACAAACTAGCCCACCACCAAAATCAACTGACCCACCCAAAAAAAAAACAACTAGCACACCTCAAAACCAACTGGCCCTCCCACAAAACCAACTAGCCGACCCACAAAACCAGCTGGCCCACCCACAAAACCAACTGGCCTACCCAAAAAACCATCTCGCCCAACCACAAAATCAACTAGCCCAACCACAAAACCAACTGACCCAACAACAAAACCAACTAGCCCAACCACAAAACCAACTGGCCCACAACAAAAGCTAGTTACCCGCCCACAAAACCAACTAGCCCACCAACAAAACCAACTGGCCGACCCACAAAACACAAAAGATTGTAGCTTGCCACTGTCTTATGCAGGGGTCGCCTTAAGTTTGACATACGCTCAAACACATACAAATAAATATAAATTATTTAACCTTTCGTAATGCACCAATCATATCTACTTTATACGACGAGATAATAGAAAAAATATCTTAATGTTTTAATTACACAAAAAGAAGATTTATGTTCAAAGTCAGAATTGTTAAGTACTTCAAAATTTGTATGCACAATCCTGCACAGTCTAACTTGCAGATATACATTAACCGGTTAGTTCTTTGCAAGTAAGCAGAGTGCTTTACCTTCCTGAGCACCTAACGTATGAAATATATGTGCAAAGTTTTTATTTACAATTAAAGTACATACAAAAGAAAGTATGCTACACTGATTTGTAAAGAAAAACTACTAGCCTTGTAAAAATAAAAACCTAACGATTGCTTTAAACATAATTCCCGCCCTTGACAGGGCAAATATTTAAGGATTTTTGAGGTGACCAATGATATTTCTATGTCTCTGCCCTTAGACACGCCTCTGATTCTGATATTTAAAGCACAATCAAAACAAATCTCGTCGGCTGGGAAGTGCAAAACAAGCTTATAATGTGTAAAAAACATTTCAAAACTTGAGGACAAATTTACACTTAAATAATCGCCTCAAACTCTAATAAAGTAGCACAACATGGGGGCGCTTGATAGCCTAGTGTTTGTGTTGTACGCCCCATGAACAGAGGCAATAGCTCTCATCACAGCGGCCGTGGGTTTGAGTCCAGCCTCGGCCCTTTGCTTCATGTCATCCCTCACTCTCTCCTCCCAGCATTTCCTGTCTTTCCTCAGCTGTCCTATGAAAAAAAGGCAAAAGGCCCCAAAAAATATCATTGAAAAAATAAGGAGCACAACATGATATGAAAATGGAAAGACATAGTTTATTGTGAAAAAGTGGATTAATAGAAATACAATTTGTTTTGTCTAATTTCTTGTCTAATCTCCAATCTGGTTATACCGCCGTTGTTGTTTGTTGTCTCTACCGTCGTGACTCTGTCAGTTCTGTCTCGTGTCATTTGCTGCCGGTACTTATGAAAAAAAAAGAAACAGGCAGAGACCTGTGTGGTAGGAAATGCTCTTTGATTGCATGTTGAGATAACCAATCAGGTGCGTGTGCAGGAGTGACTTTGATGACCTCGTCACCATCGTCACTTACAAAGTAACTGAGGAGCCTCCTCACATGAGACAGTGTCAAGATGATGGTGCTGTGGATCACACTGCTTCTCCTCCATCAGGCGTGTGAGTGATGAAACTTAATGACTAAATACTTTCTCATGTATGTAAGAGGAAGAGGTGATTCATGGAAGTCTAATCGTGATAATTGTTGTTGATTGTTTCAATTATTGTCTCTTGTGCTTTTATCTAGATACGCTTCCTCCGGTGACCACAGTTGGACTTGGGAACCTGTGACTTTAACATGTGTTTCACCTGATATCAAAAACCAGAGAGTCTTCTGGTACAAGCAGAGCGCCGGGGAAAGGCTGAAATTAATGGTGACACTGATGAGTTATTCAAAACCTCTATTTGAAACAGAGTTCTCTTCTTCATTATTCGATGCTAACGTTTCTGAAAATATGAGCAATCTGACCATTTTGACGACGACTCAAGAAGACGAGGGAATGTATCACTGTGCAGTCATGGAGTCTGGGTTTAAGATTAGCTGGAGTGGAACCTATGTGTCATTAAAAGGTACGTAATAACTGCATCCACTGAAAGAAACACTGTACTAATTTCTATCAACAACAGAGTTATTATTATATGGATTATGCTGATACTGTTTGTTACATTAGAACTTCTTAACATTTGCAGGAAACACTGAGAGGACAACAGAGCTGAGAGTCGTTCAGGAGCCGACAGTCTCTGATCAGCTCCGTCCAGGAGACTTGATGTCTCTGCAGTGTTCAGTCCTCTCTGACCCGGACAGTAAAACGTGTCCCGGAGGTCACAGCGTGTTGTGGTTCAGAGCCGATCACATGAATCTCGTCCAGACATCATCTACACTGCTGAAACAGACGTGATGGATGTGAGGAGAGATCTGCCTCTCAGAAAAGCTGTGTTCATCACTTCTCTAAGAATCAGCTCCTCTGATGCTGGACTTACTACTGTGCTGTGGACACATGTGGACGCCTTTTATTTGGAGATGGGACTAAAGTGGACGTTGGTATGACATCACATAAGCTCATGTAAGAAATATTTGAAAATTTGTTGTTGACATTATAACTGACCAGTGGCTATGTTTGTCTTCCAGCACAATCAACACATTTTGGATTTATCATCATGGTGATTTTAATCGTCTGCTTGGTTATTTCTACTGTTGGAAATGTTTTCCTCCTCTGCAAACAAAAAGCACGTAAACAACATGGAGGTAAGAGCTGTAAACAGATCATAAGAGATTTCAATTTATATGCCGCCTTTCAAGGGATACAAGGATATCCTGATGAACAATAGCTGCACCAGTGGTGGACAAAGTTCACAAAGTCATGACTTGATTCAAAGTAGAGATCCTCCTTGTCTATTATTCCTCCAATACAAGGGGAAGTTGTTGCGTCAAATCATAACATGAGTTAAAGTTCTGGAGTATGTTGCTTTTAGAAATACTTCAGTATCAAACAACTTTTTAAAGACCTCTCTAAATGTTGTTGTATTTTCACGATGCATGAGCTCAGTCAGGAATACTCTGGTGTTCATTGTGCTAAGTTATGTTTCAAACACACATCTTATATTTATTTTCATCATGTTATTTCTCCTAAAAGGATTGGAGAGCGCTGTTTCAGAAGCCAGAAAAGATAATGCATCACGGCAAGAACACAACACCGTAAGAGATAACATCAAGTAGACAGGATCTTCATTTTCATGTCATTGTGTTTGTAAAACTATTTTATCTTCTGCACAGGCCGATGCTGAGAACAAATTAAACTATGCTGCTCTAAACTTTTCTGCAAGAAAACCAAGAGGAAGAAAGAAGAGAGAGTTTTCTGAGGACAGCGTGTACGCTCAGGTGAAACTCTGATGCTGTTAATAAAGTCGAGCTTAAACTCTAAATCTGCATCATGTAGATTTTATTATTTACTAAACCCACTGGCCATCTATCAAAACCCACTGGCCTTCCATCGGAACCCACGGGCCCACAATCAAAACCTACTGGTCCACCAACAAAACCAGCTGGCCCACCATCAAAACAAACAGGCCTACCCACCAACAAAATCCACTGGTCCACCAACAAAACCTACTGGTCCACCTACAAAACAAACTGGCGCACAAAGAAAACCAACGGGCCAACCCTCAAAGCCTACTGGCCCACCCATAAAAAACCCACTGGCCCACCAACAAAACCCACTGGCCCACCAACAAAACTCACTGGCCCACCAACAAAACTGGCCCACCAACAAAACCACTGGCCCACCAACAAAACACTGGCCCACCAACAAAACCCACTGGCCCACCAACAAAACTCACTGGCCCACCAACAAAACCACTGGCCCACCAACAAAACTCACTGGCCCACCAACAAAACCCACTGGCCCACCAACAAAACCACTGGCCCACCAACAAAACCACTGGCCCACCAACAAAACCACTGGCCCACCAACAAAACCACTGGCCCACCAACAAAACACTGGCCCACCAACAAAACCAACTGGCCCACGAACAAAACCCCTGGCCCACCAACAAAACCAACTGGCCCATCAAGGAACCCACTGACTCACTCACAACACCATCTGGTCCTTTACATCTAGTGCTCTAATCGTTAAATTAAATGTGACCATGTTTTTGCTGTATTAGCCCCAACTCTCTGGAATCAAGTCCCACAAACCATCAGCTCTGCAGAATCTTTGGACTGTTTCAAGAAACATCTAAAAACTCAGCTGTACAGCCAAGCCTTCATGTTACTCCCAAACTCTTTCTTGTGCTTCAATTGTTTCTGTTTTTGTCTAATTCTTATTTTGCCCTGTTGGATGTTGTGATTCATTTATGTAATAATGTGCTATGTAAATAAAGTTTTGCCAACTTACTTTTGAGCCGATGAGTCGTTGCCACCAGAACAATGGTTATATAAATTGTTTTTAAAAAGTTACACACAGTCCAGCTCTGATTAAAACAACCAAACAGTAAAGAGACATTTCACACTTCACATAATGTCATGTTGGAAAATATATCCAGCTTACAAAAGAGTTTATTCATAAAAATGAAACAAGGAGCTGGGGTATCACAGCTGGAACCTACAGAGAGGATACCATCAAGGCTATCATCACAAGCAGTTTGGGAATAAGAGAGTCCCTTTTCCTTTTCAGAACCACTAAAATTCATAAAAAGAAAAATGGTTCAGTCGTCTCTGTGTAGTCAAATGGTTCCACAAAGCCAACAGTTTTCATTAAGAACAAAGAAATCTCATCATGTTTACATTTCGTTTGTCAGGTCCAGTACCTTACGTTGAATTGTACCACTTTTAAAAAGATGTCTTATATTGTGATAAATAATACATAAAGAGCAGAGGACATTTGTTTCCATCATAGTCAAAATCGTACATTCAGATTCCATTCAAATGTTTACAATAATGGAGCTCATAAGAGTAAAATGATCTATTCTTGGTCCAACCAGGCCGCTTCTGTCTGTACGTGTCAATAAATCCATTCATAGACTTTCTCCTACACCGGAGTATGTACAATCCAGCGACTGCTCCCTCGCAGCCGTCCATCTTTTAGCTTTCCTAGCTGCAAAATCCAGCGCTACGTAGTTCAGAGCCGCCTCGTCAGCATCCTGTAAAAGATCATTTTGACTTTGAGATGTTTGAGCCAGGATCATAAAATCAATAATATGAAACTGTTTACTACAAACGGTAGACGTTTAGTCAGACTAAAACTGTTACACAACTGTCACCTTTTGTTTATAATAGTGACTCTGACCATGAAGTAGAACTTATTTTAACCTGAACCACAATTTTTTTTACAGCTCTAACCAAACCTTTACCACAGCTACGTAAGATCAGATATAGGACCATGTTTAAACTCTGGAGCTGTCCTGTCCATCGAGGCATTAAATGTACGACGAACAAAGATTTCTGATGTTTAAAGTTGAAGAGCTGTTAAACTTGACTTTGACTCCTAGGTCCTCCTGTAAGCCCTCCTGTCCGCTTGAGGCTGGCTCCAGGAACCCAGGAAGTCACATACACACAACAGGAAAAAAAGCAGTTTTTACAGCATAAATTAACGTGTTTACAGCCTGGCACAAAAAAACCAATAGGTCTGATTAGTCATCACTGGCACACACTGCAAGGGGGGTCCATTTTGATTCTGAAAACAATCCATAGTTAGGCGCTTAGCTGACATGATTGACAGTTGGGCGTGATGTAATGTTCCAGCTCCAGCTCTCAGCCTGTTGTTAGGTTGACTGACAGTTAGGCTGAGACAGCATTTCCAGCACGGTTGGCTGCTGCCGATGGACTCCAAAGCCCCCTGCAGAAACACTCAGGCTTCGTCCATTAACATTTAGTCTATGGCTAACACTGATAGTCGGACGCGACCTGAGAGCTCACACTGTGCAGGTAAAACTAGAAAGGAACATTTACTGTTGTCAATATAAACTCCCGCAGATGGAGGTTGGTTTTAGTTGTCTCATATGCACGGCACACAAAATGTGCTTTCTCTCTCTTACACACACAATCTGCATCATCGTTCAACACAAGCTAACTAGCAGCTAAACCAAAAATCCCTGTCAGCTGGAGGTCTGCAGATATTTCTGCCATTGTTTCTTTCATGATAGGAGACATATGAAAAGGACATTTCTGCTGTTGCTGATGTCAGAAATTCAATTGAACAGTGATTGGACGTCGTGCCTCATTGAACACTGCAGGACTGACGCCTGGTGATGAGGCTGAAATTTGGCCTAAATTCTAAATGAATTGTACGACTCAAAAATGGGGCCTAAATTGGCCTGAAAAATGGCGGGCTTTAGGGGGTTAAAACTATAGATGACTGATTATACTTAGAAGACATGCATTGAAAATTAAATGTATCTCATCTCTACAGCTGGTGTCGTTATTTTCATAAGTCCTTCTGGTTTTGGCACTCAGATTAAAAAATGCTCCCCCAACACCATCAGTGGATTTACACGTATCCACTGTGCAACAACCACCTGTTCCAACTCACGTTAAGCTGTACAATATATGAAACTTTGATTACATATACCTCGTTATTTGGTTGATCTTCAGCTGATCTGTGACGTTCGCCTTGATTGGACGCAGTTTTTTCTCCTGTTGATAAAAGCGAGAAGTGATGGCATCACAGATACATTTAATATCAAAGACTGTTTAGAAAAGTGTTTGTTCATGAGCAGAGGTGGGAGCAGTCCTTTAAGCGTTAATGTGTTAACAAAGACGTTAACTTCGATATCACTTTATTCTGTTGATTTTTATCTGAAATGAAAATAACGTTAACGTCATAGCCTGTAAATATTAAAGGATGAACCCGGGGGCGCTGGAGTCCCATCGATGGCGGTCCCATCTACCCATCATTTGTTTTTTTGAACCAGGCTGTAAACATGTTAACAGGCTTTTAGAATGGGTGTGTATGCAACTTCCTGTGCTTCTGCAGCCAGCCTCTAGTGGACACTGGAGGAACTGCAGGATTTTACACTTCAGCATATGCTTTATTTTTTTAACATTGGAGGATGTAGCTTGTGATTAACGAATGTGTGCCCAGCTCTGCTCATGATGACTTTGTTAATGTGTTGAACAACCTGAACTTACCTTTGCACTGTTTACACACGGGCCTTTGGTTTCTGTAGAAAATGAGAGCAGCCGTCACAAACACGCTGTAGGGCAGCAGTGTCCCAAACGTGATGTAAAACGGCCACGGTTCTTGTTCTGAAATGAAAAGATTTAAACCACAGGAGACAGCGCTTAACCTTAAATCGCTTTTACATGATTATAATTTATTAACAGGTGTCAACATATCAAAACTGCTAATGTTCATGCAGATCGAGCTTATTCCCTGAACCTCTTCTAGAAAAACTAAAAGCAATACTGTGCCTAGGCTGAAATCATAACTATTATTATCACGAGGAAGTCTCAAGGCTTGTTCATAAACTGTCTGAACAGAGGTATAAACAGAGGTATGAACAGAGGTATAAACAGAGGTATGAACAGAGGTATAAACAGAGGTATAAACAGAGGTATGAACAGAGGTATGAACAGAGGTATGAACAGAGGTATGAACAGAGGTATGAACAGAGGTATGAACAGAGGTATGAACAGAGGTATGAACAGAGGTATGAACAGAGGTATGAACAGAGGTATGAACAGAGGTATGAACAGAGGTATGAACAGAGGTATGAACAGAGGTATGAACAGAGGTATGAACAGAGGTATGAACAGAGGTATGAACAGAGGTATGAACAGAGGTATGAACAGAGGTATGAACAGAGGTATGAACAGAGGTGCTCAGGCTTTGATGGGACAAAAAGGAGTGCAGGAAAAGGACTTTTCAACGGTCTGCTTCTGTCGCCCTTACACACACTAACAGTTGTTCTTAACCTTTGTGGCTTGTAACAGTCGGTATGAAATGTGCAGAAGAGTCGCTGCATCACAAACAGACGGCTGTTAGAAGTTGAAGAAGATCTTACGGCCTGTAGAGATTTCAAAAACTGTATTTCAGCAGAATAAGGCCAAAAAAAAAACTTTGTGGGGCGCTGGTGGTGCAGTGGTTAGTGCGCGCTCCCCATGTATGGAGGCTGTCGTCTCAAGCGGGCGGCCCGGGTTCACATCCCACCTGTGGCCTCTTTCCCGCATGTCATTCCCTCTCTCTCTCTCTCTCTCTCTCTCTCTCCCTGATTTCCGACTCTATCCACTCTATCTCTCCATTAAAGGCATAAAAACCTCAAAAATAAATTTAAAAAAAAACTTTAAAAAAAACTTTGTGAAAGTATCATGGAGATGTTTTTCTTGCACAGTTCCTGAAGGTAACATAACAATACATGCATGATGACTTAAATAAGAATATAAAACATACGTGTCTTCACTGTAGTTCCTTCACCAAACAGGATTTGTCCACATGTGAGCACAGCGCAGTAGTACGTCCCGGCGTCAGACGAGTTGTGTATGGTTTTGGACAGATTGTAGACACAGCTTCTCTTCTCTTCTTCTTCACTTCTGTGGCTTTGAGTGTAAATAACAGCTGGATGAGCTTCTCCTGCTGCAGCTCTGAACCAGTACACACTGTGTTCACCTGGACACTGCTCTCTGTTTTCTTTGGACTTGGAGAGAAGTGAACACTGGAGCTTCACTGAGCCGCCCGCCTGGACCGACTGCGCCTCCGGTCTTTGTTTCACATAGACCAGGTTCTGGTGGTTTTTATGATCT